AGAGTCACTTGTGTTTATTGGTACTGTGGTAAATCCAATAATACCGTCTTTATAACGTATATTCAGAGTCACTTGTGTTTATTGGTACTGTAGTAAATCCAATAATACCGTCTTTATAACGTGTATTCAGAGTCACTTGTGTTTATTGGTACTATAGTAAATCCAATAATACTGTCTTTATAACGTGTATTCAGAGTCACTTGTGTTTATTGGTACTATAGTAAATCCAATAATACCGTCTTTATTTCATTTAACAGAAATGTTGTTGATTATAAGCAACAAATAAATATCTATACAAAGAAAGAATAGTAAATAGTCCAAACTGGTTTTATAGCAATAGCAGAGTATCATAAAATTCATGTTACATTGTACTGTAAATATGAAAGTATATCCATATATTTAAAAACATATACTTTGAATTTTTGATGAAACTTATAGGAATACCGAGAGATTCATCATATCCATAATCACAAACTGAAGAGATATTACATACATGCAAGCAAGTAAGACCAGTGTAAACCAAAACGAATAACTAGAAAAAAAACAAAGTATAAGCAATCATAAATTGCATTAACTCCTATAGGAATGGAACTGTCATTACATGTTTGGAATATCATGAAACGTACCACAGATGGTTTTAACTAATTATTAAAATGTACTGAATAAAGTGAGAGAAACAGATTAAGGCTTAAAGAACACATTATTATATATTAGACTTTTATTCAGTTCTTGAGTTATTCTGCCTTCAAAACGTGTGATTCCTACAAAGATCAGTTCAGGTTCTTCTGAGTTCCTTCGTAGGAAGTCACTTTGGGATAGTCCAGAAGCCCTTGGAGACATTATTACTCCAGAAACTTCACAAGTCCTAAGTAATTTATCACGGGTTATAAGTAACTATTCTGGGTCTCAAGAGATTCACGATGCTAACATATATATTTAATGTCGAAAGCTTCAGTTATTTAGCTATTTTAAACTTTAGAGGGCACTGTATTCCTGTTATGAAATCACGCTAACATATTTTAATTCATTTGCCAAATATCATGTTCAACTTGATTCAAATCACCACGTGACAGTTTTCTTTTTCGTGTAGCATCAATTCTGATCGACGTTTTAAAATTTCACTGATGATTTAATTTGTTTCGATCACTGTAGTATCATTTCAAACCTTTGCTTAGCCACCTAAGTACCACAAGAAAGTGCTCAGTGTGAAAAATATATAGCCACCTAAGTACCACAAGAAAGTGCTCAGTGTGAAAAATATATAGCCACCTAAGTACCACAAGAAAGTGCTCAGTGTGAAAAATATATAGCCACCTAAGTAACACAATAAAGTGCTCAGTGTGAAAATTATATAGCCACCTAAGTAACACAATAAAGTGCTCAGTGTGAAAATTATATAGCCACCTAAGTACCACAATAAAGTGCTGTGTGAAAAATATATAGCCACCTAAGTACCACAATAAAGTGCACAGTGTTAAAAGTATATAACCATCTAAGTACTACAAGAAAATGCTCTGTGTCAAAGGTATATAGCCACCTAAGTACCACAAGAAAGTGCTCTGTGTTAAAAGTATACAACTATCTAAGTACCACAAGAAAGTGCTCTGTGTTAAAAGTATATAACTATCTAAGTACCACAAGAAAGTGCTCAGTGAATACACATGAATGAAATGCCAGTGTCAGTACGAAACAACAACTGATTACAAATAAAACCTACCCGCTTCACTGTTGTTGTCTGTGCTCTGCTGAGAGCTGGGTTGGTGGGAGAAGGGCCCCGGTGTAGATCCGGCTGGCGACCTTACATCATCCGCTGCTCCGCCGTACGAGTTCAGAGACTGGGAAGGAGGTCGCTGTAGAAACAGAAATAGAACATGTTCCGTGTTAGAAAGAGTTTTTGTGTAACGAAATCACGCTGTTATATGAACATTTAACATGATTCATTTACTTCTAGAAATTATGAGACTCCTACGAAGACACTCGAAGGTGACACTAATTCAGGCACTTCTGAGTCACTTTAGAATATTTTTGAAGCCCTTGGAGATATTATTACTCTATGAACTTCAGAAGTACTAAGTAATTCACATAGTTCGATAGTCTTTTAGTTGTGACTAGTCCATGAAATTCAGGAATTTGCAATCAATTATATATATATATATAGTTCAGAACTCACTGGAGACATGAATCATATGATTACTCCATAAACTTCAAAAACCCTAAGTAATTCATAATGTTCTAAAGTCCTTGAAGATATGTTAAGTCCAATAAATTCAAAAATTCGTAGTTTTAGATATAGCCCTAAAGTCACTGGAGATATTATTAACTTCACAAACTTCAGAAATTCTAAATAATTCATACAGTTCTAAGGCCTCTGAAGATATGTTAAGTCCAATAAATTCAAAAATTCGTAGTTTTAGATATAGCCCTAAAGTCACTGGAGATATTATTAACTTTACAAACTCCAGAAATTCTAAATAATTCATACAGTTCTAAGGCCTCTGAAGATATGTTAAGTCCAATAAATTCAAAAATTCGTAGTTTTAGATATAGCCCTAAAGTCACTGGAGATATTATTAACTTCACAAACTTCAGAAGTTCTAAATAATTCATACAGTTCTAAGGCCTCTGAAGATACGATTATTCAACGAAATTCAAACATCTGTAGTAATTCAGATAGTTGTAAAGCCCTGGGAGATATTATTAGACCAGGGATTTCAGAAGTCCTACTGTAATTTCGATACTTCTAAAGTCCTTGATTGGAGATGTCATTAATCCATGATGTTCAAGGTCACTTCAGGTAAGTTCAAATAGTTATAAAAAGTTGTGTTCAATCTAATTGTTATGTTCTTTGGAGTTGAGAAACTCTATGATTTCGAGGCACTTAGATGTTTGATTATTACAGACATTTCTGACAACTTAGACATATATATCAGATACGCATAGAATCTTCAATTTTTTTTTATATATAAATTCCTGTATCTGTTCTCTCTACCTTAAAGAAATACTCATTTTTCTTCGCGAACTGTAGCAATAACTTTCTGCTTCTAAATACTTTTAGTGTCGAAAAATTCAGTTATTCAATATAACTTTAGAGGGCACTGCTGTTTGGCTATGCAGATTTTGATGGCTATTTCTGTTTTTTATCGCTACCAATGCCTGCATTCATTATATTTAAAAACAAAAACAATTGGTTATTGAAGAAGATAAATCATGGGTAATAAACATATCCAGACTTCCCAGCAATTTTCATACACATAAATCTTCGCAAGCAGGTATAAATAGACAGACAAATAGTTAAATAGGTAGGCAGACAGACAGTAAGATAAATTTTTATTTCCTCTGTTAACTAAATTAAGTCGTATCTGTCTGCTGCTTCTGGAAACATAACTACATTTTTTTGTCAAACTCAGACCTTTCTCATTCATTTTCATGTAAAGATAGCTCAAACCACGTGTGTCTTTACTGTAATAAAGCCTAATCCTTAACTATTTTTATTGTAATAAAGCATAATCCTTCATGATTTGTGTTTACTTTGATAAGGTCTAATCCTTCTAATCCTTCATGATTTGTGTTTACTTTGATAAAATCTAACCCTTCATGATTTGTGCTTATTATAATAAAGTTAAACCCTTCATGA